ATCTAAACAACACAGAGTTAGACCGTTTGACCTACAGACAACCACCGAGCGTTTTTGTTGCGGTCTACAACTGACTTGAGAATATGTTTCACATGGCGTGTCTCCACAAGAGTCTATAACCCTTTAGCTAACATGTTGGACAAAAACTTTCCTTAAAATATTTTTCAAGATGAATCCTGGATCTGGATGTTTATAAAGTTTTCGGAGCTTAGCCCGGGCGGTACTATCTATTACTTCCTTGGGGAACTCTTCAAACGTTTCTGGAGCTTCGGTTCATCAAGATGAACATGATCCAAAAAGTTTATTTTGGAAAGGAATAGTAAAGGTTACAGTTCCAAACAAGCTTCTAAGCCAATGTAACTTTCTGCCCAGCCTTGAAGTTTGCAATTTGAGTTTTCCGTTCTTTAGGCTTTGAATCCTCGAATACTGCGTCCAGATCTTCTTCTGTTATGTGAATAGAATCAATGTCCATATCTACTTATCAAGGATGTAAATGATAAAGACAGAACTCGAATTTCACCTTTGCTAGCGTTCCTATGTGCGTTAAATTGAGCATTCGTTATCAAAGCCTTCAAATCCGCTCCCGTCCAACCTTCTGTTCGATATGCCCAAGCAGTGTGTGAAATTTTTGCATGTAATACAGTTTTGAGTATGACCCTTATTATGGTTGAGCGGTCATTCTGGAACAAAAGTCTTGAAGAGCAGAACAACTATAAACGAACCGTGCTTGGCAAACCACATTCTATCAAATGATCGAACCTTCCAGGTCTAAGAAGAGCTTCATCGATCATATCAATTCTGCTCGTACATCCAATCACAAAAACACCTGAAAAACTATATTCTTGAACAAACGAGATTAAACGGAACCCAACCGCTGAGTCCTTCTGCTCCATCCAATTCAGTCAGTAGCTGGTTAACAACTCTATCTGTAACTCCAGTACTGTCATGACCCCTTTTCGGTGCTAATGAATCCAACTCATCGAAAATAACAATACAAGGTGTCTGAGATCGCGCTCTGCAATATCAATTTGACTCTCACATTAGGAATGTTGAAAAACACCTCTCGAAAACATTACGAACGTTTTCCTCACTTGACCCAATATACTTAGACAATAGTTCTGGTCCCTAGAGAGTTATGTCTGCTTGTTCAGTTATATAAGCAAACCTTTATAGATATCACATTGAACTCGGTGAAACTCGCAAACGAGTTGGCTAATAAAGTTTTTCCACAACCACTCTGTCCATGAAGAAGAACTCCTCGTCCTAGAGTGATCCCACATTTCCCAAACAGCTCCGAGTACTTTAAAACAGTATAGTGTGAATCATCAATTACACATACTTTAGTTGGCCACAACAAAACTTCAGTCAAAAGTTTTTTCTGTTCTTCCATCCCTCCTACGTCATTTATGTTATTATGATTCTTTTTTTGTTTTCCAGTAATGGCTGTTATTGGACGTGAACAACATAAAGCCGTTTTGATGTTATCTTCACTTATTGTAGAAGACCCTGTAATTTTTGAAATGTAATAATAGCCTTACTGAATTTGAATAGAAGAAGTTTGTGACGTACACCGCTCTGAAGGAAAATCATTTCTTACATGTGTGAACTAGAGAGCGGTTGATCTCCTGTATACGTCTCATACTCCTGAGCGTTATAATAGCAAAGGCAAAACAGTACCACTGATTCGACATTCCATTTGAATTCGAGTAGCTAATCGTCTCAAATCAGAAAGAGTGAAGTTATCTGTGGCTCTTGCCGCCGTGATGGGGTTACAATCAGGCTCCAGGAACTCTTGTAGAACGGATAAACGATCATTCTAGAAATTGAGTGTTATTAAAACAGTGAAAGTTTTTGTTCTTTTTCAAGCCAGTTTTGAACTGCTGCTTTCGACCCTCTATTACTAGTTTTTGCCGAAGTTTCGATAGTGTGTGCTTGACCATAATAACGAATGAAAACCCCTATTCTCGCCCAGAGGTGTTTTAATTGGCTGTAATTCAACGATGATATATCGTTCTCAGTTCCGCGTGTAGTAAAGAGAGCTATTTAATAGCCGAAACTTTTCTCAAAGAAAGTAGATAGTTACATTGTTTCTTTCCAGGTTTGTCGCGAAATGAGAAAATTTCAAATATTATGCTTACGTTGCCGTACCGAGACAGGTTCAATTGAACCGAGATATTCTCGTGAACCAGAACGAATTACGAGAAAACCAGACGACGGGAAGCTTTGCAGCAGGCTGTGATTTTATGAACAAGAATCTGGGCGGAGCTTCTGCATGAGTAGTTCTATGGACCCTAGCGTAAGTTGCCTTCCAGACTTGAAATTGTCAGAGCCTCGTGGACAGTTCACGATCGAATCGAGGTCATTCAGTCAGCATTCGCGCACTCTCACATCTTTCCCTTTCCGGACAACCCCGTATTTTTCTCTCATGCTTAGGTCATCTCTAAATCTTCCCCTGTTCGCTTGACGAACGACCGTTATATTTCTAGGTAATCTCCCTCCTATCTTTTCCTTTGTCTCTGTTTCTCTCTCTTCACATCCGACTGTGTATCTATATTGATCAAATTGAATCAGTTGACGTATATCTTTTACAGGATTACTGGAATCTTCACTCTTTCTCTAGACACTGCCTCATACGACAACAACAACGCTAATCATTATTCTACATAGCAAACCTAACATTGTTTCATTATGACGAAAGGTTTTGCTTCTGGTTTTGGTGAGCCGCTTAGCGAAGAAGGCAAACGCTATGTGAATGAAGTCCGACTGAAGCTAACTCAGCCTATTCATCCAACTGTAAGTTGTTCTTTCCATTCAACAAGTCTAAACACTGTCATCTTATAGTTCGATACAGATTTTAATATTTATCGATTTGTGCTTTCATCCGAAAGAATACACAAGAAGGAAAAGGATATTATCGAGCATGCAGCCAAAGCCGTCAACAACCATTTGAGAATCAGAAAATCACTTAACTTGGTTGGTCAACTCAAATGACTCGTGTAACAACATGTTTGTAGGATACTGATGTTCCTCGTGCGTTTGATGAGAACCCTATTTTCCAAAAACGCCTCATGCCAAAAGGAGAAATTCAAGAACAATCTGATAGTTACAATCGATTGTTGTGGTTCATCGAATATGCCTCTATCACTGTTGAGGTATGAAATGATTATCTAGGTTATCACCTGATTCTTTCCTTTGAAGAGTATTGCTCATTCAATCAGAAGCTCAGAAGCATGTAAGTACCAATTCTGGCAGTTCGAGTACATGCTCCGACGTGTGATGAAACAGGTTAGTACTAGGGTCAGGGTCATTCCGGTTTTGGCACCCACAAGTACAAACTAGAATAACATTAAGATTTTCGGGAAGAAACTACCATTTTTCGATGAAGAAAAAAGAATCGATAACTTTTCAAAACCAGTTACTACTTTCAGGAAGAGAAGACAGGAAAGCTGAGTTCTCTTCGCCATGTGATTGATATGCATGGATATGAAATCAACCCATTCACTATGCTCTTTGTCAGCAGTGGCACCTTAGCTTACTACTCTCAACTGTTTCACTACGAAAACTACCCCGAATTGGTAGAACAGCTGATTTGCGTGTCTATTATTAAACACTCTTTTAGGTATCACCTGTGGAGATTGTGAATATTGCTAAGTGGATTCATGTGCCTTATAAGTTGGCGAAAACAATGATGCCATCTGGCTTCGCTGACAAGTTCAGACTTCATGATAATCACTTTTTGAAAACATTGAAAGAGGAAATAAGACTGGAAGACATACCAGAGTCTCTAGGAGGGGTGAACAAAGTACTGAATCCTCGTACATTTTCCATCTCAATAACTCATTCTTCAGACGATCAAGTGTGTTCCTGCTGTCAAAGTTGAACATACTGATTATTGGCAACCAGATCAGAATGAAATAATAAATGATCTCGAGTCTGTTCATGTTGGAGCCCGTAAGAACAAGCATATCACTGTAGAAATAAACGAGCCAAAGGAAATCAAGTGGTACTTCCGGACAGATGGCGATGTCTACTTCGGAATATTCTACGAGGTGGGTGGAAGACAGCCAAGAGAGTGTGATAATTTTAAAACCCTTTCAGGACCCCGATAAGAAAGTTCAAGAAGAGAAAGATGGCTTTGACCATGAGAAATTTGAAATGGTATATCCCTGGTTAAAGTTATCGGCCAAACTAGTTCATGAAAGAGATAGTTTCCGCTGTACGGTTCCAGGAAAGTAAGTTCAAGAACGCTTGAAGTGCATTGAAGGAAACTTTTCAGATATCATATCGTTTTCTGCAATAAGCACTCATGGCTCTCGAGAAGAAACGTAGATCTGTTCGTTCAAATAGTTGATGCAGAGAACAACAAGAAGAGGTTGCACTCAGATGGCACCCTGGCTCAATCCACTGTCGATATTAACGTACAGTAATTTTTATAATAATCCTCCCTAATAAATTTTCAACTAACTTGATTCAGTGTCGGTATTTCGATGACATTTGCGAATGCTCGTTTGCTTCCTTGATTACTAAGAGACTTGTGCAGGGAAGATAACTTTCTTGCGGTGGTCAGAACAGGAATTGTTGATTCCAGTAGTACTCTGTGCAACACTAAAATAACGTTGTTAAAGTGCTCCTAACTGTAGTCCTACTGTTGAAGAGTCTCTCGACAGCCAACTGTCTGTGCTCATCTTCCCCAGTGACTTGAAAGAAATCAAGGTTATCCAACACAAGAAGAGCAGGTTGCATTTTTTCCAGCCTCTTCATTTCAGATATCAAGCTCTTCTCAATGGTATCGCTTTGCTTTCCTGTAAAGCAATAACTGTTGAGAAGTAGGTTGAAGAGTATTTTACCTTTCCAAGCACAACAGTCGATATAGTGGGAAAACACACATTGAGAAGATTTAGCTAATTTGCGTGCAACCCGGCTAACAATATAAGTTTTCCCGCATCCTTCTTTTCCTAGCAGTAAGATATGTCCAACATGTTTCTATATCGAATCGCATAACATGATTATTCAATGATAGTTCACTTTGGTACTTAAGCTGGAGAAGAAATTGACGAAGTTCATGATTTCATGGACAATCGGCGACTGACAACTGAAAAACAAGCTTGTTATTGTAGGTATGATCAGGGCCTACTCCAAATTAAGAATGGGTGGTAATTTGGCGAGTCCATGATTAGGTAATGGAGTCTCTATGATATCAGAATCGGCTTGGTTCTCGTCTTCATCAAATACGAAAATTGTGTTGTTACGAGCAGCATAACAGACAAATCTCTTATTAAGATCTCCGCTGGAAATGTCTGTCACACTAGGCTCCAAGAACACTTTTATTTCTTGGTCTGAAATATGAACAACAGACTTCAGATGAAAAAGAAACTCTCACCTAAGTTAGGAAGGATGAACTTGATACCATCACATCCCATAATAATAGGATAGAATGCACTCAAACTCTGCAGAGATCGCTCAATAAGTTTCTTATTATCCAACGAAGGAGAATCTTCGCTTTCCTGGAAAGAAAGAATTGAAACTACGAGAAAAGATCAACAGTACCTTCTTCATTATCGAAACTTGACAACGTTTAAGATTCCAAATATTCTTAGGATTGACACTTTGGCAGAGTATTTGAGTATAACACGAGTACAACGGATTTGTCGAAATGAAATGATTCGGCCGATGCTGAAATCATTTTCGATAGCTCGACACATAGAAGCGGTTGTGTTCATCAGATGCTATTCTAGTATGTTTACTGCCAGGCAATACTAAACGATTGATACTCACTTTTAACAGAGAGATGACAGCTTTGTGCATATCGTCATTGGACACATTGTTAATGGGAACTTGTATCAGGACGGCATACACCGGAGCTGCATTCGGTTCATCATTTCGGTACGTCGAAACAATATTAAAGGAAGAGTATTGCTCATCTGAAGACTGAGAGTATCATAAGATCAGAATTTAAAGAGATACCTTTATTGAGCGTATAAATTAAAGATGGATGTGAAGATTGATTGAAGATTTTACATTTTTCAAACAACAATCTTGGCAAACATCGGATAATGAGATTATTTATATATTCTGAGGAATGGAATCTGGTCTCCGAAAAGTCTGTGGTAACACCATGAAAAACTGTGTCAACCTGCAAGAATATGATGTTCGCTCTTATGAAGTATACAAAATACCTGTGATAGAGAACTCTGTGAGTATGGCAAGCCTTTGGCAGGTGTTAAATAGGGTAAAACGTATAATTCTGAACTAGGAACCAAGTATACAGGGGAATCAGTTGGCGGAACAATATTGACTAAAGATGTACATGAAACAATAGTCGATAAGACATTATTTACCAATCTTGAATAGAACATGCATTGAAGGTGATAACCAAAGTGGAAAAACCATGTCCTTCTTAACGACGGTTAATTGATCGAGAAAAAGAGATTCTACAGCAGAACTTGATTTATCCTGAAAAAAACCAAAAAGTTGAAACCTTCAGTAACCCATACTATACCATAATTTCATAGTCTTGAGCGGACATAGGAACGATCTCAACACCTTGGCAGTTTGTCGGTTCCACAACTTCAACGATCACCTGAAGATGATAAGCATTAACAGGATATTATAAAAGCTAAAAATACTTCTTGAGTCTCTTGGAAGCCTGCATTGGTCGCTAGCACGGCATTCAAGAAGAGATGGGAGAAAGGTTGTCGTCCGTATAGTTGAACAACAAGAGTAACATGAGGATCGCTACATGATCTTACTATAAACGTTCCAAGTAAGTCTCCCAAACTAGCCTGTTAACGATTTATGTATATCAAGTATTCTAACATATACTCACTGGGTTATAATTAATCTTCACGGTTGAATCGAATAGGATTTCATTTTTAACATAACCGAAACAGTTATTCAAATGATGAAATTGAAGAAAAGCAGGATAATTTCTACCCATATAAGACTGAAACAGCTTATGCAGCGTAGAATGATGAATGCTTTCTAAGCTAAAGTCTAGCGGTTCATTGATAACAAGCAGGATAAGGAAAGGTGCAAACAATAATACTACCTTGCCATCGAAACGAAAACATGCTCCAGTGACAATTGCTTGCTCTCATGCCACACAACATCGGTCATGCGTCTAATGGCTTCAGCATAGATGATTCATGCTTGTTACATCTGTAGTTTGAGAACGTCTCGAACAGTTTGAATGCTTGTAAAATGCTATCTGGAGCTGTTAACGCCATACGTTCAGTCTTTGTACGTTTAAGCCTAGTTTCCCTTTTAATTGTCCGAATCGGCTGAATTCAGATGAGGGAGGACTCGGTTCCGGAGACGACGACAGAACCTAATAAATACATAGATCAGACAGAGTTATGGAGAAGTATCTTTTTACGATGTGACGGAGACAGTTTGAAGAAGCTTTTAACGGTAAACTCCATATCATTCCGCTCTCTCATTCAACATAGGTCTGCTCTCATTTCCATGCCATCCTGTCTGATAATCGTTTCTGGCTTGAAAAGTGTATTGAAGACAAAGTTAGTGTTCCGCCCAAAGCTTGGAGAGATTATGTATTCAATGGTGAGTCATTTACAGTTCATTCTTATATAAGCCTGATTCTTCAGAAACAGACCATCGGTTCAATTATAGACTAATTTTTTTCAAACGCCCCTACAATAGAAATCTTTCGTTCCCCATAACTGAGGAAGACACCATATCCTCTCTTATAAACAAATACTCCAAATGTTATTATTTATCCATCAGGAGTGCTGGCAATGGGTAATCCATTATTCTGAGAACTCATCCTAATTTGAATATTCAGCATAAAGTTGGAACGAAACGATGAGCTAAGATTCCATGATGACAGGGTTTCAGTTTGTTTCGCTACAAGCTATGAAGCTTGTCATAGGCAACTAACTATCGACCTCGAAGCTGCTGGTGTAGAGGTATTGTAGCTTGTATATTCAATATTCAATGTTTGTTTGTAGAAGTGGATCTTAGATGAAGTCCGACCTGTAATTGATGTTCGCGAACTGATTTGCTGCCGCGATGACTGTGCAGCTACATATGCAGGACATTCAGGATTGATCGTTGGCACAAATCTAGCTTGCTACCCAATAAACGTCGTCAAAACTCAAAATCACCATATGCATTGGCCTCAATGGACAGGTAAGCTAGTGTGACAGTCATACGTGATAAGATGTGTTGAAGGAGGTAACGTTTGGGAGCCAGTTCATTTCCGTTTCGAGAACTATCCCGTAGGAGTAAGAGCCGTTCTCATGCACAGCGAAGGACGGGATAACCAATTTTGGGCTGGTCATTATGGTGCAAAGTTCGCTAACTTAGAAGTCGTTGTATCATTCCCCGAAAAACCTTGCCTAAGAAAACCTGACGAGTTTTCCCAATGATGTAGATTATTGTTCATAAACATACTTTTCTCACGTTTTTACCTAATAACTGCAAAGCACCAATCTATAATGTGATTCTCGATATGAAGTTTCTTGCTAACTCCATTCCTGACGTTTATGACATTTCTTTTATAATTTATAGCTGTTGTACATAAGCTTGGCAAGCTCTCCAAATAAAATTTCTATTTTTTCATCCCGTTGAATGAAATTAACCGGTTAAGTCATATCCGATTGTTGCTCAGCGACTTATCATTTCCATGCTCATGTTTGTAAGCTATACATTTCTTTCAGATACAGTATGGCTTTTGAATTGATTAGGGCAGAGGAGACCGATGGTCAACTGAATCCAATTACAGCAGTTTGCATAGTATCTGATAAAAATAAAGCTCCCAAAGGATTTTCACCGGTATTAATAGATCTCACTTTTCCGTTCACGTCATTTAACAGATACTGCGAACGACCGATGATAATGCTGACGCTGATATTTGGAGAGAAAGTTCTTTTTCTATCTTTGCCAGACCTACTAGATATATTGCTTATAGTAGAGATGTTCCAGAACAATGTTTGAATGTAATAACTATAATGATACCTGTTCGTAACACTTTCTCCTATAGGGTCCCGCCATTTCTGTGATAACTGATTTGACTGTAGTCAAGGAAACGGAGCCAGTACCTCATGGATACGTTCCCATAGATTATACGGCAGATTCAAGTATGTTGAATTCATATATAATCACTCTTCAGTTTTATTTTTTCAGGAGAAAAGGCACTGAGAAAGAAATTTTTATGCTTGAAGTCGGAGCCCCGAGATGCTGTTGTCGATGCAGTAGGCGAGGTATGGAATAACTTGATTGATTTCGTTTATTAATCTCATTTCAGATTTGTATATTAGGAAAAACGAAAAAAACTCCGAAGGGATATAGCTGCGCAGGGTGAGACTATTATTCGTTTTTCACGGATTGTTGATCATGCTCTTTGATAAGCCGAAAATATAGTTTGAAATTACGACAACGTGACAAACAATTTGGCATTTCATGTTCTGAAAATTCTTTGTCGCGTTGTTTCATGCACAACCGCTCCTGTTCATTACGAGTGCGGAATGAAAGCGCATCTTAGTGTAGTCACAGCGCTAACATCAGAGATCTAACCGCTAACTTTCTTGTACGCTTAAAATGAAAAAAGGACAACCGGTGAGTGCGTGCTGAGTCGAACAATGAACTTGAAGCATCAATGCACCACCGTTGAGAAGCAGACATACCTGAAAAATGAAAACGCTGAAGACTAACGATCTACAGTTCAGTAATGAAAGAGAATGATTGAGCAATCTCAATAACAATAGCCAATGTAATTTATATCTGGTATCTTACAGTGAAATCGACGGAGCCCTCATTGTATTTAAAGTGGTTGTGATCCCTCAAACGTTCGGAATGAAGCATAGCGCAAGGCAAGCTGACCTTTCAAACTGTTGTTTTTTTGTAATCAACCGCTTTAGTGCGCAAAGTCTACCACCAGCAAGATCTGCACCTGCACCTCCTGGATTGATGCCTTTATACCCATCATTACAACCATCCAATTCTGCTTCAGACATCGAAAAAGTAAACGCATTTACAATAAAGGTGTGTTACTAACATGTTTGAATTGTTTTTAATGTTTGATTGCATCTCACTCCTCCTTCGATGAAGTCTGTTTTCTGAAAGTGTAATCTGATGTTTAGAACCCTTCATTCGTGAAACCTAAAGGAGTGGATGGAGTTCCCTTCAAGCTGCATCCGTCTGTGACGACGGGAGCTACAAAACAAGTGAGTGCAATATTGAAAACAGTTTATCGACAATGATGAGTTTCAGGACGATAACTTGCCTCAAATAGGGTTCGATATTCAATTGCTTAATACCGATGCATTTCATTACTCTTTTGCTCTCGAGCAAGACACTTTGGATCAAATAAAGTGAATCTGTTATTCGAGAGCCTATTTTTCATAGAAAAATTCCGTGTGTGAGCTTTCAGTATATTTAATTTTCTTGGGATATTGATATGCTGGCCATTTTGAATCCCAGCATTGTTTTTCAGAACTTTGTAGTCAACTTCATTTCTCTTGACAAATCTTCTTATTGGTATAAGTTCATATTCACATTCAAAAAATGCCGTTTCAAACTATTTATTATTTCTGCCATGGAAAGACTCTCTTCGTTCATTAATAAATGATTCTGAGATACTTTTCGTTATGTTGCATTGGCTTTTTTGTGTCTGAGTGAGTGAGTATGTGTGCCTGTGGCAGTTCGCAATCCTCATTGAAGGTGGACTTGTGTGAGATGAAAAACGTGTTTACTTAGCAATATGAGAGGATCCTTCTTCTATCATGTATTAATATATAACTGCCACTTTTTGAATTTAATAAGGAAGACCACGAGGCTTTGCAGGTGTTGGTAATAGGATATATCTAAGTAAAACAAAGAAAAAAAACGGGTCCAAAGAGAATAGTTAGCTGAAAAAGCTGAAGAAGTTCTTTCCATGCATCAGACTCACGCCGTTCTACCCTTTTTCATGTCCCAACCTGATGTAATGATGTCGTTTCATCGTTCAACAGCTCCAAACAACAGAGTTCCAGATAGCTTTTGGTATCGTATAAGCTTGAGTTGAAAACATAGCTGGAGCTTTCTTCCCTTATATTTGGTATTTTTATTAATTTTCTCTGATAATCATGTGAGAAACACTAGTTAATCAATGTTTTCCTATGCTCATATCTCATTTCGTTTTTGAATTGCGAACGGAAAGAGTATAGAAAGCTGAAGATGAGAGAACGTGAAAAATAATGTGACAAATAGGAGGCTTGTATCCAGCTAGGTGTATCAATTATGTCCAAAAATGGAATCACTTCAAGCCAATGAGACGAAGAGGCTCCCTGTGTGTTATTTTCAAATGATTTTTTCTGGGAACGAGGTGATATTTATCGAGAACTCATTTGTTTGTAACATTTTTTGCTCCAAGTGAACAGAAAATGGTTGCGAGAGTCTCATGGCGACATACTCTCAACGTTATGTCCCGATTGCTTTGTTTTTATGTGTTTCTCCCGTTTTGAGCATCCGTTGCTATGATCTTCCTGAACTAAGCTCTTTTCAGAATTTTCGCACAAAAAAAAGGAGGAACTGCATGTCCTCTACCAAGTTCTTCTCCTCCAATCATCAGACGTCTGTTTTCCACTCTTCCCAGGTTTCCGCCGTTACGTCTACAAAAAAACGTGTAATGCGTTGTCGAACAGGTAGCTTCATTTCAGAACTAAGCATGAAACGTCTCATTTTCATTCAATTACGTCTTGTTGCTGTAATTATGGCAATAAATGTTTTGCACATGTTATTAAGATGGGTGTGAGGGGAGGAGGAGGAGGAGGAGATGAGTGCGTTGTTAACATTTTTTGGATGACATTTTTTGCTTTCTCTCTAATACGCTGTAATCCGATTCAGCAACCTCATTCAAATAATCCGACCTTCCCCTTCCATTCATATCAAAAGTTTTCAAAATTTCATACCTTCCACACACACGCACACTATACCTCTCTTCTAACCTGTTTACCTGGTACTATGAGGCTTTTCTCACCAGATGCTCTTTAAAATTCATTTTCCTCCTCACAGACAGCACAGTTCAAAGGATTCCGAAACCTGATGTTATTTTGATTCAAAAACAACACGAGATATCCTTTTATGAAACATAAAATTATATTATGTAAGGAGGAAATGAGTTTTCATCTGGGCCACAAGACACACCTGGGCATATCATGAGTTTCTACTCATTTTCCTCTCGCATAATGAACTGAACAAATATTCCGATGAAAATTGCTTAAATAATTTTCATCTACTCCGTCTCTCTTTTTGCGGAACAAAAATGACTCTCAGCTAGCCCTCTTTATGTTTGCCATATTTGACATATTCATTCTCTTTTTTTTTGTTCCCGCAATTGTCTCAATGCCAATACTCCTGTCCCCCTAAAGAAGCCCTTAATGACGAGACTTAGATAACCTCACGATCAAAGATTGACTTTCGTTTTCGAAATATCTTTTTTCCGTTTTATTTAATAAAATGCTATATTTAATGAGCTTATACACCATAAAAGAATTCGGGGATATGAAAAAAGCTATTTTGAATATGAAACGACAGCTGATTAGATATCAGCATTCTTGTCGTTTAAGACAAGTATTGTCCTCCTCATTTTCTCCTCTTCTGACGCCTTAAACACAAACACATCACACGTCTTCAGCTCTTCTTGCTTCTCAGATAGCATGAAAACTATATAGTTATAGTGAATTAGTCGAAATTTCAACGAATTTGAGCTCGTTGTTGAATGAGCGACACCTCTTTTCTCCGCAAATGAGTTTGTTTATACATATTCGCCGGAAAAAGTAAATCACTTCATTTGAGGCAAAGTTAAGTTTCTCTTCCATTTCTTATAGTTCTCGTCCGGCCAACAATACAACCAATTTATCAGAATCTGCACAGCAACCAATTTCTACTTCCAATAGTTTTTTCCGTTACTAAATCAATAGTGCTAATCTCTGCTTACCTATCTTTGATTTTTTAAACTCACACTACCGTTTTTATGGGTTCGAAGCCATGTGGTGGTGAAAATCCTTTATTTGATCTCTACTTTATCAGTTACGCGATTGAATGTCTTTTGAGTTTGGCCCTGTTATGCAGCCCATACGAACAACAGCCATTTGTTTTGAAAAATAGAATAACTTGAGATGTTAATTACCAAATAACTTATTCCTCTCTCGCCGAAATGAGTGACTTTGAGGTACTTTCATGCTCAGCCTTCTCTCTTACTCTCTTTCTCTCTACCCCTCCCTCCTCATCTCACTGACTCATTCTCATCTCTTCGCTCGGCCGATTCTCAGCTTCCCATTTCGTTCTTTTTTGTGTTTCTCCTCAACTCGCACCGAGAATTCACAAAAATGTTCATTTGCAGTAATGTCTTATCATTCATATCATTAACTCATGACATGTAGATGTTCTGCCGTAAAAGATGTTCTCAATGTTTGGTCAAAATACGCGTCGCTTTGACGAGAGCACCATTTGCATTTCATGAAAAGAACAGCAATTTTGAGTTCTTCACAAAAATATGCAAAGAGAGAGTATGCGAATGGTAGAGAGAGATGACAGAAATACAGAAATGAGAGTAGAGAGAAAACCATATGTAGGACCGCCTTTTCATGCTTCAAGCCTGTATTGATAACCAAACTTGTACTTATTTCGTTGTCTGTGTGTTAAACATAAGTTTTCAAATATTTATTTCACACAAGTTCGCAAATTAATTGAAAATCAAACAGCAGTAGCACCTGAGAGCTTTTTCCCTTTTGTTTTCGGCCATGTTTCGCGCGCTCAGGTAGTTCTGAGAACGAGAAGGCTAGAAGAAGAAAATTATTTCCTTCTTGCTGCCGCGTCTTACGTGAACGCAAGTATGATTCAATCAAAAAATAAATCTAAAAATTCACCTAAATCTTTGCTTTTCGTTTCGTTTGAATCAAACGTTTGCTTAGTGGCTCATCGTTCTGTTATAAGATATGCCTAACATGCATGAACATATATGGTCTGTGCATGTCCCTGACAGTAGATGAACGAAAAGGAAAAAAAAAGAAGAAAAAAAGATGACGTGAAGAGAAATACATTGTTAGTAATGTAGGAGGAACCAGGGGTCGTTTACTATGCGTCATTCAGCCTTTAACCTTTTCCGTGTTTCTTAGCTTTAATCAGTTACACTCATGCTCACCTGCTGTCTCTTATCTCTTCTCTTCCGGAAAGAGGTTAACTGACGAATCTCATGTTATCGTGCAAGCCTTGAACGAATTCCTGTTTTATAAAAATACATTTTCCTCTTGCAATCCTCCTTCTACTAACTCAATTTCTGTGTTGAATATCAATTTCCGTTAATTGAAGGTACTTTTATGGTAAAAATCAGACTCGTATTTTCCATTTTTCAATTATCGTTCATTTCATTTGGGCTGTAAACTGACACACAAAACGTGACTTCATTAATTTTCACGTAATTACGTGAGTCTCACGTATCTGCGTGGGAATATTTTAATTCGCTTATCTCAGAAGCACGGAACGGTTGATAAATGTTTTATTTGCGTCTTTTCAATTACTTCTCATATATTTTTGTGCAGAAACAAAAGAAACATGTTTGCACATTTTTGATTTTTCTCAACACAGAGAGAAGGAGAGAGAGAAGGAGAGAGGGCGACAGCGAATTGTTCGCATTCAAACGACAAGATTGCGTTTTCGAAGTTAGCTCTTCGTCCAAATGCGTTTTATGAACGGTCTTATCGCTTTATCTCATTTCCATCAAATGATTATATGATTTCCTTCTCCCATATCCACCAAAAATCAACCACACTGCCAATTTTCGAGCAATCTGTCCACGAAAATGGGTTTTTATGATTTTACAAATATTCCTTGTGCTAAGCGTCATCTGATTCATTGCAACTCTGCAACTCTTATCAAATGATTCAGAAGATGCGTAATAGTAGCCGAACACAGCGAGATAACTTGCCTGATCATACTAATCATTCTATAAGATCGCTAATGAGCACTACTCCGCCCACCCGTGTTGATGAACCCACGGCTTATTGTGAGGCGAATGGAAATGAAATTTTTCAAATTTTCAAATTTCAATCTGCTGACTTCGTATTGTTTTGTTTCTGAAAACTGTCGTTGTTGTTAGAAATCTGTCGATGGAAGCTATTCGCTTAAGTTGATTGTATGTTTCTTTCTCTATTTCTCTGTTCATTTTATTATTTCTATGAAAAGAGTTCCTTTACAGCCTTCAATTCTCATTTTTTGCTTCACCTTATGTTTATTCTTCACGTGTACGTGCTGATATCTCTAAAGCTCTCTGATTCATATGCTTTCTCATACACGATGTTTGAAGTTTCCGTTTTTTCCTCATCTCTGCTCCTCTTGACTTGGCTGATCTTTACGTCCAAAGTCTACCAAATTCATTACCGAACAGCCATCCCTAACTGACTTTCAGACCTTTTTTTCATATCACACTCGACCTCCCCTTTCATACCCTTCAACTCATTCTTTGACTAACTTCAAACAATGTTTCCCATCTCATTTTATTTTTAACTTTTCATGAAATCATTTCTCTCATTCTCTTCTAGAAGTAACCATGGGATCCGACGACGAGACGCGAAGCAGTGAAGTCAGTTTCGTTTTGTTGGGTGCTTCTCAGAAAACTGTATTAGTAAGTTCCTTTTACGGTATGTAATTTCAAATCTCCTTTCTTCAGTTTGATAAACTTCGTGAAGCAGCAGATAAATATGAGAGACATGTTCATTACCCCGATGTCCATTATTTGACCGTGAGAATCGGCGACCATAATCACACAGTAGAGCTCACAGATCCAGGAATGGTAAGAGAACATCAAAGTGCAAAGACTATAATACAATTGATTCAGGCTAGAACTGGTGGAAGAGAAATGGCAATTAAGAAAGCTGATATTGCCATTCTTTATTACTCAGCACCTAAGCTATCAACTATGACTCAGTTACATTCCCTCAAAGAAGACTTGGAAAGAAAGAAAAATGTAAGTTTTTCAAGAAAAAATGCTCTGAAAAGTGTTATCAGGAAGGGCATTAGGCGAGTTACGAGTTCATTAAGACTATTCTATAATAGTTCATACTATGTTCATCAAATAGAACATTATGAAAAGAGATTATAACGAGTTGTATGTTGTCTGACTGTGAAATCGATGATGCACTTTCACAATCCTTCTTTCCTTTTGTGAAATCTTTCAAAAGATTATCGTTTTATATTTTAAAGAGAAAAAAAAACGAGATGCATTTCCTGAATAGGAGATACCGTAAACCATCAATCCTCTTCTCAGGTTTTTTGATGTTTGTTACCTAACTTCTCTCTTCCATGATTCACGGAGGCAGTTTTGCAAACTGCAAGTTGTGGTGAAAGAAGAAGCGGAACTTGCAAAACCATCTGATTGTTTGATGATTTTTTTCCAAGAAAAAAAGGCTCATTAACGTTTTAGCCGGAGGCTTTTCCGAGATGCAGAAGACACGTTTCATCTGGCTTCTTCACAGGTCATATTGACATTCGAGTCTCGTTGTGTAAACATCTGAAGAAAACTGTGATCTGAAAATTATCCGATTGACAGACACAAGTTCAGATCTATAGTTAAACAGTTGCCATTCAAAAACCGTTTCAACAAGTAAAATGAGTTGGTCCAAATGTAAACATTGCCCAATGCTCTCATGCTCTCAATGAACTTTTCTGTTTTTTTTTCAAATACTCTTCACAACTCTAAAATCATCAAGTTCATCATCATGTGCTTTGGAGGGAAGCTTGTAAAACACACAAACAAACTACAAGTTCTCCGATATTATTTCAAAGATATTTTTGATGTGTTTATATTACTTTTGGATGACATAAAATGAATTGTTTGACAAGCACAGGCTCGTAAAGACGATTGTGCGTAGTGAGGAAGAGGAGACGGGCTTAACAAAGTTGAAATTTTGAAAGTATTAGGTAAATGATGATGAAAACGGACAGATGTTAGATGAAGAGACTATCAGAGAAAGAGTTTTCGGTTTTTTCTGTTTGCACATCTTCGCCAATGAGCAGGAACGATCACTTGATGACATTTTTGCTTTTTCAAAACAACTCTCAGAGTCACATGCGTATGAATGGCACAAATTGATTTGAAACATTCTCAGAAATTTCAAAATTTATGAAATTTTCATTTTTTACGTGGAAATCACGTGAGTATGAGATTGACCATTAGACTCATTTTAACCTTTAACAGATTAAAGAACGGTTGTATTTTGAATTCTTGCAGATGCCCGTTCGGATAATTTGTGATGTGGATGACGTTGCTGATTATGATGAAGAAGACAGTTCCACGGGAATAAGCTCGCAATCAGAAGGTAGGCACTTCATTCAATTAGAAGTAATTCATTTTTACTTAAAGGTTATGAATCAGATCCAGATCATGAGCTCGGCATGAAAAGACGGCGATCGATGGAAATAATTCGAAAACAATCAGATGATGGAACGATAGCTATTGACATGGTGAGTAATGCCTTTCTGTTTTCTTTCTCAGACTTGTTATTATAGGGTCGACAGTTTGCCACAGAGTTAGGAGACAGGTGTGTATTCATTCAAATATCCTCCTCAACCTATCAAGACCAAGAAACGTTATTGAAAGAATTGGTACTCGCCTCAACAGCTAAAGCCCGAACAAGGTAGTCTCATCTCAGAATAGAATCATTTAATCCGTTTTCATTGTTATAGATCCAGATCTTTGATACCCGGACGATTAATGAGGAGATCAAAGTCAAGAGATACGAAAGTAGCTCCTCAGCCTGCAACAGTTGTACCTGATTATTCCACCATTTCGGGAGCATCAGAGCGCGAAGAGAGTCCTCGTCGTCGCAAAGGTTCAGAAGTAAAAAATTCCAAAGTGTGTTCCATACAATGAGATTCCAACATCTACTCTAAGCTATAGTTTGAATTTGTTTCATTTAATCTATTTCATATGAATATACTGAATATCCCAAATGTCATTTGTATCATCATACTCTTCATCATATTGTACATCATAATTATAACTTATATGATCATTCACAATTCAGAAGTCTTTTCTTCCATTATCATCATGTTTGAATTCTTTCGTTACAGGTAATAGACTAGTTACTCATCCCGGTGATCATGTTCATCTCCCCCATAGGAATGAAATTTGTTTTTTTTGTCTCCAGAAGTATATAAAGCTCTTATATTCACAGTCAACTTGATTCATTACCAAAAAAAGAGAATTAGAACCTTACAAGATAAAAAGCTTTGGACGGTTGTTTTTATCTTTCGCTGTTAGTGGTGCTCAGAAATCAGTAGAAGTCTCATTTTTATCAATTGATAAGCTTAAGGCGAGCAAAAGATAAAAGTTTTTGTTAGTTCGATTCCCGACTCAACCAAAATGGCGGCAGCCGTTTTATTCGCTTTTCTTTTAGTTGGTAAGTTGTTTTCTGTATGATAAAAACAGTTTGTTAACTGATTATCACCTTTCTTTACTGTCTCATACATTGTGTCCTCATTGAAGGTCTGGTTGGAGCCCAGAAGGAAGGATTAGATGAGAAATACACTTATAAGCAGATTTGTGTAGTTGATGGAAAGTTAACTGTTCTTAATGGATTCGATTGTCGCAATCAGATTGCTGTTGGAAAGTGGAAGAACTCAGTCAATGCTACTGGGTAAGCCATCTATAAAGCATTATAGAACATTTGCATAAATGGGTTGATATGCTCATCAAGTTTGTAAAATGAACAAGATAGAAATGTAGGAGATAAGTTAATGATAAGAAGGGAAAGAGAGAGAGAGAAAGAGAACGAACAGATTGTCGAAACGCTTTTTACGTCATCATTAGTTAGCATGAGAACTTGACTGACGTTGAATTGACGTAGTGCAACTAATCAGAACCAACATATGTCCAACAAGTTAAACTAATTAACTAATAGACTTATTGTGCGATATGTTCATTACATCATTCTTTCAGATGGACCTTCCTAGAGGTTGAAACAAAGCCAGAGTATGACCCAGAGTTGCAAGCTTACACAGCTGGTTATCTTGAGGGTATTCTGTCTCAAACTGTCCTCCATTACCATATTGAAAACACTGTTGCCGATTATTGCACTAACTTCACTGAGTATTGCAAGAGGATGACATCATTCGTGAATGAAAACCAGATGTGGGTTAAAAAAACATTGGAGACTACCGGAAGAGACGATATTTATTGGTCAGGGGTTTGTGAACGCATTGAATGTGATTAAGTTCAAAATTGTCTTTCCAGGTCAACAGAACGTTCCATCAACTTACTGGACTCATTGACGGTTATGAGGGAAGAGCTATCAATCCTTCCATCTCTTATGAGCTTCACCCTATTCTGTTTGTTAATTTAATCTCCATTCATATCATGTTTCGAATTCAGTTTGCTCAATTGGAATGGAGATTTCTATGATCTTGAGAAGAAACTCAACAAGACCAGAGATCCAATAACCGACCAAACTGGAGAGAAGTGTTCTGGATTCATCAAGGTAAGATCATAGAACTGCATAAATGAATATTAACTAGTAATAACAACTCAGGTGACTCCTGACAACGCTGATCTTCTCATCTCCCAAGTGACCATGTCTGGTTTCCAAAACATGCTCCGAGTTTTGAAGCTCTACAAATTCGGTTACGGTACTTTTTAGATTCTCAAAAAGAAAACATATCAAAAAAATTTGAAGATCGTGCCCTTTACCCCGGATATGCCACTTCCATTGCTTCATACCCTGGACTTCTCTACTCTTCTGACGATTTCGCCCTGATGTCATCGGGATTGGTTCGTTGGTACTCAAAATAGAAGTGAGAATTTCATTTCCAGGCTATCATTGAAACAACTATCAGTGTTTTCAATTTGACTTTGTTCAATGAAACTAAGGCTGTTGGACAGGTATCATATCAACTCTGAAACTGATAAACATCCATGTTACAGCTCCCAACATGGGTCCGTGCCGTCGTTGCCAACCAAATGGCTCGCGACGCTAGAGAATGGTGCCATCTTTACGCCAAATACAACTCCGGAACTTATAATAATCAATGGTATTTCTTGAAAACAGATGTTCAAAAGCAAAAATAACATTTGAAGGGCTGTCCTGGATTATAATAAGTTTGAGAAACACAAGCCACTTGCTGAGTATGGACTCTTCTATGTTTTGGAACAAATGCCGTAAGACAAATAACTTTTTTGAACTTTTTTGATGAGAGTTCCATGTTTTTCAGAGGCAAGATTGTCTATTCGGATCTGACTTGGTTCTTGAAGAAATATTCTTATTTCCCATCATACAACATTCCTTTCTTCAAGAAAATCACAGACATTTCTGGATTTGTCGGACAAGTTCGTGTCATTTCACTAATCCAGTTGATGATGATCATCCTCTGCAGGCTGCAAAGATGGGTGATTGGTTTAAATGGGGAGCTGCTCCTAGAGCAAAGATTTTTGAACGCGATCATCATAATGTCAAAGACCTTGCCACTCTTCAAACATTAATGAGGTTCACAAACACATTGTGTATTTGTTTACTTGTTTATTTATTTTTTAGATATAATAACTATAAGGAGGAGGAATTCAGTAAATGCAAATGCAATCCACCATACTCTGCTGAGGTTGTCTAGCTTGTAGCCACTCTGTAATCATCAAACATCATATAGGCTGCTATCTCTGCTCGTGGAGATCTTAATCCCGCCAATGGAACTTATGAATTCCCAGGACAGGGCCACGTTAATCATGGAGCTTTAGATTATAAGGTTTCTTTATACCTCATCACTCAAACAAATCTCTCACTTTGCAGGGAACTAACGTTGATATGATGAAGAATCTCCAATTCCAAGCTCAAGGAGGTCCAACATGGGGACAAGTTCCAGCTTTCAAATGGAGTGAATTTGACTTCGTAAGTGATCAACCGCTCCGCACATCTGATCCTTGAGAAATGAAGAGTCGCGCAGACTTTCCACGTTATCAGGACTCGCGTAGCGTATGCTAATGAGCTTGTTAACACAAATATTTTCAGAAAGATAAAGTTAAGCATATTGGACATCCGGATGAATGGAAATTCAATTTGATGGACGTTAAATGGGAAACTAATGTTTTCACCGAGGAATAAGCTGTTGTTATGGATGTTTTTGAATTGTTTGTCGGGTTTTACCTCTGTTGATACTTTTTAATAAATCTCTCAACTGTCGTCTTTCTAGTCTTCTGCTTAGCAATAGAGTGTATGAGATTGTAGATTTAAAGCCGCCTAAAGCATTACATAAGCTCATCTCCAAGGAAGAATGGTTGTTTTGCGGATTCATAGTAACACATCGCTAGTTAACGTGCACATCTCATTCTTCGAACAAAAATTTTCAAAAGAGGACAATCGGATTTTTGTTTTTTTCGGTGTTATTTTGTCTTTCTCCGTAATCGGCTCAACTCTTTTGATCTTTTGATATTGACTATAAACGAACACTACATGATGACAATGGGAGGAAGGAAGAATTGAAATAGTTCGACTCACCCCGGATCGCTTCCTCTTTTTTTTCAACTAAAGATTATTTCCCAATGATCATATTTGGCTAATATTTTCTCGGCAAGTATTTGTCCTTTTTTCAAATTTCAATCTCCGCCTACCGCCCTCTGACTGTCGTCGGCTTCTAGGTGGTAAATAGAGAATCGTATCTTCAATCTATTCTACTATCATTGTTACTCAATAACATTATGACTTCGATGATGTATTCCTCAGGCTTTGATCGTCCGAAAGATCCTGAAATGCCTAATGCAACATTCCAAAAGGAGAAATGCCAGAAATACGCTTTCATAACTGTACTAGCAGTGAGTTCTATTTTGTTTCGTTTTTATTTTCTTTTCCTCTCACGCCTCCTCATTTTGTTGAATTCATCTAATCCGATGGAATGGAGTGGAGTGTTCAAACACATTTTGATTTTTACAATGGTTTTGCAGATAGCTTCAACTGGTTTGATAGCTGTTATTACGTATTTGGCATGGAGTAGTGTTAATAATCATTTCTGATACATGTATCCCATATCTCTGTTTCCATTTCTAACGAGCTGCCGATATTCCTAGGCCTGGACGGGTTAACTTCTAGTTGCATTTTCTTGTTGTTCTTATACGAAGTATTTCACTTATTATGCACAGAAAATAAATTCTTTCAAGAATGGTTCATCTCAGAGAAAGAGATAGAGGGAGAGAGAGAGACAGAGAGAAAGAGAGAGAGAGCAAATGAAAGAGATGGTAAGCGAGATTGGAAGAGATCATTCATAATTAAGGTAAATAGTAAAAGTCATCTTGAGCGGCTGATTCATTCATAGCTGGTATGTCATCTACTGAGCTTAACTCGTTTTCAGTTTTTTCTCCTTCCAAAACGGTCACACCACACATGCGTACATCCTTTTTTGGTTTTGGAACGAAAACCGTAGTATCATCGAAGAGTCCTATAGATATTCGGTGCTTTGTTTCTCCAATAGCAACCATACAACAGCTGGAAAAAAACGAGAAGAAAATGTCAACTTAAACATCAAAATTGATGTAAATAATGGAGGAAGGAGAGGAGGAGGGGGGGGGGGGGAAGAAGGAAAAGAGATAGAGAGAACAAAAACTGTTGAGTTTCAACAAGATGAAATGGAAAAAGATCAAATTTGCGGACATGTAACACCTCATTTCCAGGCGGCTTATGCTTATCTTCTTGTTCGAAACACTTCAAATCACAAGTGATTTATAGAAGATTCTACATTGAGGGTAAGTGGTTGTTGGCTCTCGAGAAAGATCAAATCAGAAAAAAGAATCAGTTTTGCTTTCAGGAACATGTCGATCAAATCGACAGCCAACCTTTTTTTCATTTCGAACAGAACTGTTACTTACCTGAACAGTAAGGCGAACAGCAAGATTAACAGAATCCCGCTGATAACCAGAAAATGCGGTTCTGACAGATCACACCGGCATCCTAACTTGATGAGATAGCGGAAGAATAGAACAAAAACGTAAGCGACGAATAGGAAGAAGGATAGAGTTCCGATTCCCAAGCTAATGAATACCAGGACATACATCACCGATTTAGCTAATATTTCTGAAAACCCATTGGTTAATGACCGCCATGTTGTGGAAGTGCTTACTCATGAAAAACAGTAAGCGTGTTACCAAATATAGAAATAGAACGGATAAACTGGATATCTGAGTTCTTTGCTTGTGCTTACGCCCTTTCTTTTTCCTCGTTACACCTCCACGTATTGTTTCTAATGGCATATAATCTTCTTGTATCGATTTTGTAAAATGGACAGGAGCTGGAGCATCACCATCAGGTTCTTCTACAGCAGGCAAACTGATAAGCTTCGGTTTGATTCTTGGCTCGGTCTGGAATCAAAATTGTTTGTTTGGATGAGTATTCTTAGGGTGATGGACGCAGAGGAAGGCAGTCGGAATGAAAATGTACTTTTGGTTGATCCATCAGTCCAACAGTTAAAGGTTTTTTGGATTTTGAGCTCAAATATTCCAACATCTCATGAGCAGTCAGTCTATCTTTCGGGTCGATTTCGAAAATTGTGTCGACAATGCTTTTCGTTGCATCAGTGGCAGATGGAACCAAAATAGCTCCTGTGTATGGTAAACTCTGCAATGAAATTCCATGCATATTTGTAGCAAAATATAATCTCACTGTTTTGGAACCACAAGCTCTCTCAACAATCTCGTTCTGATTATAGCTGATTGATTTAAAGTATTCGAAATGAGGCGGGAATTTGATGAGCATTTCAATGAAAGTACACCCGAGAGACCTGAACAGTTCCGATACAAACAACAATCCTTTGTCAAATACCAAATATCAGCAGGAAAACTATAAGAGTCTCGGAATCCAGGTCCCAATTCACTTGTTAGGACTTCAGGTGCAACGTATAGAAGCGATCCACGGAAGTCCCTAGCAATTTCCGAAGCAACAGATAAACCCATTCCATCAACAGCCAAATCTCGGATCAATCCGAAGTTTGCAAGCTTGATGCTGTCATTGGATGAAATTAATAAGTTGGCAGCTGATCATGATAAAAACTGAGTAAAAAGAGGAAACGAAAGAAAAACCTTTAACATCCCGGTGAGTAATCTTCAGATTATGAATGAAATGTAAAGCTTTCAATGTCTGCAAGAAAAAAACTATTTCAAAGTGAAAAAGTTGAATATTCAACTTCTTGTAGGTATCGAACTGCTTTTTGTTCGCTCAAGCCTTCTCTGGAGATATAATCCTTAACCGATCCATTGGTTATGTATTCTGTCAATACGTAGAATTCTCTCCTGCAATCACAAAATAACACATTGTCCAATGAAGCTATTAGAAATAATGATTTACGTGAACTCACGTCACGTCACGTCACGTTACGTGAAGTCTGTTTGATTCACGTGGCATCACGTTACGTTGCGTTCGTTCATTTCAAATGTGAGCGAAGGTTGAACGGTTGCTCACACTGTCTTCGTCAGATTTTCATTCAAGATGTGTGTAAACTAACCCTTCAGCATATATTCCTATTTGGTCAACTATTCGATCATTATGCATGGAAATGTTTTTAAGATCTTTGAATTCTTCAAGGAATCTGTTCAACCTCTGCAACAAAGTAAATAAGGATATGGCTGAGAAGGCTATATGAATACAATCAATAGTTTCTCTTTATATTGATATCCATGCTCAAAGATTTCCATCTTGATTGCTTTGACAGCTACGTGTGTCTTTGTATCCTCATTTAAGTATTTACAGACCTAATAAGTAATATGATTGACAAAAATTATGCAAATGAGGAATACTGTTCCAAAGCGGCCTCTTCCTAGCTCACATATATACTTATAAGAATCCATTGAGGTAATAAAAATATTATCAGTTAATGATAGTTTCTCATGAATTGTACTAACAATCAAACGATTTATGGGCTGAAACAAGCATGATGAGGTGAGTTATGAGTATGAAGATGAGAACCAAGTATCAACTTACTTCATTCGGACGATTCATTAAAGCCATTTTGGGTCAGATAGTTATACAAAATTTGAATGAAAGGGAGATTGGTCTATTCGATCCTTTTTCAATAGGAAATCAAGAAGGTAAATGTCGATTGATAGGAATACAATACGTTTCACCTTATCAGCAAATTTAATTTTCGTTGCATTCATCACGTTCTTGAGCTTTTTCATTTCTCAGCTGATTAAAACCTTTTTTAAATATTGGATGTTTAACTTATAGCCATGATGAGTATTACAGGTCCAAGACCCTCACGACTCGATTGGCGCACCATGGATTAGCAATGGTCCAAGTTCAACTCAGGGTCCGACTCAGCCGTGAGGAGTTGGAGAGTCGATCTCGGCAAATGATCGAAACTGATCGAAATGCAACTTTTTTTTTCGAATTTTGTGAAACTTGGTGATCTT